GGTAATATCGCAGTCTTTAACAGTTACTTCAGTTAAAATCTCTCCTGATGGTACTACTTTAGCATCTGGTAGTGATGATAATTTCATCCGTTTATGGGATATTAAAACAGGATAATTAAGAGCCAAATTAGATGGTCATTCATCATCTGTATGGTCAGTAAATTTCTCTCCTGATGGTGCTACATTAGCATCTGGTAGTTATGATAACTCTATTCGTTTATGGGATGCTAAGACAGGAGAATAAAAGGCCAAGTTGGATTGTCATTAAAATGGAGTTTATTCAGTCAATTTCTCTCCTGATGGTACTACATTAGCAACCGGTAGTAATGATAACTCTATCCGTTTATGGGATGTTAAGACAGGATAATAAAAATCTAAATTAGATGGTCATGAAGATTCAGTTAAATCAGTTAATTTCTCTCCTGATGGTTCTACAATAGCATCTGGTAGTTTGGATAAGTCTATCCGATTGTGGGATGTTAAGACAGGATAATAAAAAGCCTAATTAGATGGTCATTTAGGTTTTGTTTATTCAGTCAATTTCTCTCCTGATGGTACTACATTAGCATCTGGTAGTTTAGATAAGTCTATCCGATTGTGGGATGTTAAGACAAGATTATAAAAAGCCTAATTAGATGGTCATTCTGATTATGTTACGTCAGTCGATTTCTCTCCTGATGGAACTACATTGGCATCTGGTAGTGGAGATAAGTCTATGTGTTTATGGGATGTTAAGACAGGATAATAAATAGCCAAATTAGTTCATTCAAATTGTGTTAATTCAATTTGTTACTCTTCTGATGGTACTACATTAGCATCTGGTAGTCAAGATAACTCTATCCGTTTATGGGATGTTAAGGCAAGATAATAAAAAGCTAAATTAGATGGTCATTCAGCATCAGTTTATTAAGTCTATTTTTCTCCTGATGGTACTACAATAGCGTCTGGTAGCTTGGATAAGTCTATTCGTTTTTGGGATGTTAAAACAGGATAATAAATCTAACAGTCAGATAATCATTATAAAGATATTTTAGCTTAATTATAACCTTCAATATTTAACAATATCGTACTTCCAGAATGTGGTATTTATTTTGTTCATCTTTAGCAACTTCTATTATTACAATTTTAAGAATTCTCTAAAATCCCAATTTAGAAGCTGAAGGAGCTTTAATTTTGAGAGGAGAATTTGTAAATTATTAAGGCGTTGATCTAAAATCATTATTAAAATCTAAAGGAAGCTGCATCCTAGAAAACTATATAGAAAAGAAATAAAATTGATTATTTTAAAAAGTATAAAATACACATTATTTAACAAAATTTTGAACTTCAAAGTTTGCAAGACTTAAAAAGCAGTATTTCAGACTTTTATATATTTTGTTATAGTATTCAAGGATTTAAGCAGCCTAACTTGGTATTTATTTGATCAATAAATTTACAACATAAATGTATGATTATGATTATAAAACATAAAGACTGATAAACATGTAAATAAAAAATTGCTTTTATTTTTAATTGAATACATTGATATACTGGTTTATGTAATAAGTCATTATAATATATTCAATTCAAATTTATGATTATTAAATCAAAATGCTTCATAATAGATCATTTTTTTTAATGATTTAACCTATTTCTATTAATTCTAAAGAAGAAAAAGTGTGGTATGATAAGGGTATTAATTGTTAAATATGATATTTAAGAAATGCATTATAACTTCATTAATATTGGCTTTTAAAAAATAAAAATGAATATAAAGATGATTCTATTTGGTATAAATAGGGTACTTTATTTTGAAATCTTAAGAATATAAGTAATCTATTAATTTAAGCATATTTAATAATAATTAATGACATTTTCTAAGTTCTAGCTCTCGCTAATTTCTATTTCATTCTTTCTTCCAATTAAACTTTTCAAATTTGTACATATTCATTGATTTATGTTGAATTCAAGTTGTAACTATCAAAGGAGGAATTAAATGTTTGATTGAAGCTATATCTTATTAATTTATAAAATAATACTGCCTGGTCGAATAAGAGTAATTTAATTTTTAAATATTAATATTTAAGATCTGAATTATCAGAAAATGAATATCTAAATAAATTCAATTGGCCCTACTGAAAATATTTATGCAGTCTGTTTCTCTCCTAATGGACTACATCGACATCTGTAATTTGGATGGCTCTAATTATTTTTTGTATCTGAAATTAGGATAACCAATCTTACAATAATCTGCAAGTATAATATATAATAAATAGAAAAATAGCACCCTTTCAGAAAATTATATTCATTTTTCACTTTTTATTTGCTGCAACTATTTTTTCAATCCTACAAATTCCCTAAAATCCAATTTCTAAGCTAATGGAGTTTTTATTCTGACAGGAGAATTTTTTTGATTATAAAGGGTATGATAGCAATCGCTATTTAAATCAAAAGGCAATTTATTTAAGATAACTAATAAAATTAGTAACAAATTTGCTTATTAAACATTTAAATTATACAACATCATTCAATGGTTGTATTTTTGTTTTTGAGGACTGAATAAATTTCTCCACTTTCTATATTAAGTTTATAATAAGTTATATAATAATGTCTTAAAAAAATGAATCTGGTAATGATGGTAATTATATTATGTTTAGCCAGTAGAATATCACTTACGTATAATATTGTGCATTGTTTAATTTCTGTTGTTTTATTTAGGTTTTAAATTAAACTGTACAGTTAGAGCATAGCCTTCTCTAAAAAATGCCACACCTGCTAACTTATTGATATCATAGATTATTATTGAAAAGGCATAAAGAAACACAAATATATTTTAGATGATACTAATGGGAGGATGCATTTGTGTATAAATAATAAATTTTGATAAAATATTTTCAATTAAATATTTTTTATATAAATTAACTTATGAAAGCTAAAAACTTTGATTGGATATTTTATTTTCATTTAATTATTGTCCAAATATGTGAATTTTCAC